TTGTGTCTGCTTACATAGCAGGAAGGCAATAGCAAAACAGTAAACATTTGTAATCCATACTAAAATTTTCTATGTATTGATTTATTTTACTTTACAATCGGAGCTACTTTTTAAAAAAAATAAAGTTTAAACGCCAGAACTCAAAAGCAATCAGCCAACGGGGTTAGAGACTCAGAAATGATTTAAAGATGTTTTGCTGGTGAAGACTGACATTTAGTGGTCAACTGGAGCAACTACATGGAAAACATCCAAATCCAGGTAGAAAAAAATCAAAAAGAAAAAAATCAGTAGGTCCTCTGGATGGGTTCTTCTTTAGTGAAACGTTTCATCTCTCCTCCAAGAGACTTCTTCAGTCTGATGAGTTTCAGGTGAACTGGAAAACTTTAAAATCCAATGGAAACATGAAAAACTTTAAAATCCAAGCTCTTATTTTGAAGGGAAGATACTAGTTTCCTGTTCCCCGTGCTTTCGTTTCCTGTCAGTCCGTCATGTATCCAGAATGCATCGCTTCAGTTTTTCCAATAAACAGTTTTAACATTCCTTTATTGATGCTTCTTTAATGAAAAATCTACAACAAACAAAAAAAAAAAAAACAGACAAAGAAGCAGCCGAACTAGCAATCCTCAACAACTTTTTAATTTTTACACCAGGAGCCAAAGTTCTGTTTCAGGAACTCACATCCCCAGCAGAGGCTGAAGGATCCGACATGAAGAATGACAGAACAACGGAGGAGGAAAAGTCAGAAAGCAACAGGCAGAGGCTGAAAACTCAGGAGAAGGGAAAGGCCTTGTCATTATCCTTCCCGCTCCTCCAGCCGTCACACATCCATCCCGATAATGACCTCGTTTAAATGACAAATTCCTCACCAATTGTAATTGCCAACGAGCGGGACATAATCCTTCTTTAATGAATATCACGGCGGCAGTTCATTAACCACTCAGGTTACCCCACTGAGCGCCAGCCGCCACTGACTCCCCCACCCCCACCGGATGGAGACGTTAATTGCAGACTGTTTGAGTCATGGATAATGAGAGATGAGTGGGAGGGGACGATGGAAACCATCAGGGAGATCCGAACGCTTCCCCCGATGCTTTTAGGAAGAGAAGAATTCCCAGGAGACACAAGATGGGAGGAAGTGAAGTGAAGCAGCAGAACTCTGAAAAATCTGCTGCTTATTATTTCTTTATTTGACTTATTAGATGTTCTTGAAGGTTCACATGCACTTACTTTAAAATTTAGCACCTAGTGACTCATTATAAAATTAAATATGTACAAACTCATCATGAAAGGAGTTGTTTCTGCACTCTACAAAATGAAATGTTGAATTTACTTAGTCATGTCAGCTGGTTTCACTTAACCTAGTAGAGTAAATATGAGGCAAGATTTTATTTTCCACTTGGTTTACTGGAACCAGTTAACCCAGGGGTCTGCAACCTGCGGCTCTGGGGCCACATGTGGCTCTTTGGTCCCTCTGCAGCGGCTCTTTGAAAATATGACCAAACCGAACCAAACATAACGGTATACCCATAACAGAAATCAATTTTTATACAAATCTGTGATCAATACTACTAATACAAAAAGTAAAACATGTTAGCTCAGGCTAGCCTGTTGTTTAAGTAAAAGTAAGTTAAGTAAAGTTTTATTTATAAAGCGTCTTCCACAGAAATAAATTCACAAGGTGCTGTACATTCAGGGAAGGGGGAGGGGGTAGTTAAGAAACACCCATTCAAGAAGACATACAAGACAAACATGGGGGAACAGGTGTTCACATTAATATTCCAATTTCTTTCTATGATCGTTCTCTCAAATCCATCAGAATTACCTTTAAATAATTTTAAGACAGCAATAAGAATTAGAAATAAATCCCAAATAATTCAGTTGTACTAGTTTTTATCCAAATATACAGAATTTTTCTTGATTACATGAACATGGTCTTTTCATTTGTCCTGATGTGTATAATAATAAATAACATAATAATAATATATTTTTAGCTAATAACTCCACTGACCCTAAAGGTTCCCAAAAAGGCCTCGAAAAGGCCCACGGACCACCACTTGCTAATCACAGTTGTAGCCTGTTTTGCGGCTCCAGACACATTTTATTAGTGAAACAAGGAGCTCTTTTATCTTAACAGATGCCCCTGAAGTTCCTTAAAAGACTTCTGAATTTTTTTGAGAGTGCCAAACTAAAAGTAAGAACCGGAAGAAGTTGTCTGACACCCTAGTCTTCAAAATAAAAGCCCCTGGTAGCGTCTGGAAACGTTTAAAGGCAGATACCGCACCATTTTTACCCACGGGTGGAACAAAGACTGTTACGGGGTTCAGTAAATTCTACAGTTTATTTCTTAGAGAGCGTGAAAAAGTACTTTTACTTTTATTTTCCCAATTTTTATGAACAGTTTTATGACTTTAACTTAAGTACTTTTCTCATCAGTGAAATTTATTTTTACCAAAATCATTTTCTGCTAAGGTATTTTTACTTTTACTTAGTTATTTTTTTCAGTAATTTCCAGACCTCTGGATTCAGTTTAGGAATAAAGTGACACATCTCATCTCTCCCTCCTTCAGAAAGAGACATCTGAAGGAGACGATTTATCCTGCAGGTCGCCATCATCGCTCTTTCTAAGAAAGCAATGCTCGCTGTGGGAAATGCATTTATTTTAGCTGAAGCTCAGCAAATCCACGAGACAACCTCGAGGTGTCCAATAAGACAAGGAGAGGAGCATTTGTTCTGACTTGTCAGGGATTGACAGAAACGCCTGTATTATGCCTGGGATGGCCTCAGCAGCGGGCCGACAGCCAGAGAACTCAAACATCCTGAAGCCATCCCCCTGTCGGAGCTGCAGTCAGACGGTCCGTCAGCTCAGGAAGAGGCTGCAGGCGAAGCCCAAACAAACTTTCATCTGCGTGTCTCAAACTCAACCAGGAGGAGAGAGATGGAGGGATGCACACGGAGGTGAAGAGAGGAGCACACACTGCAGATGTGCACGAGTCCTGCACAGATTTAACAGGCAGCGGTCTACAGCTGAGAGAAGGTGCTTGTTTCAGCGCAGCTGCAGCAGATGTTGAAACAACATTCAGGGTTTGGTTTAGAAGCAGAGGGAAGCAGAGAGAGGAGCAGGTGGCTGAACTGTATGGTGCAGTGTGAGGGACAAAATTAAGAATATTGCACAACCAGCGGAGGCTATATCTATTGCTAATCCAGCCTTTGATCTGATTAATGAGAGGCTGGCACCGCTAACTGAGGCTAGCGCTGGCAAATGAGAAGGAGACTATATATTTGTGTTAGCATCAAAGAGGTTATCAACTAGCATGGATAAGCTGGCGTTAGCATTAGAGAGGCTAGTGACTAGCATGGATAAGCTTGAGTTAGCATTAGAAAGGCTAGCAACTAGCATGGATAAGCTGGTGTTAGCATTAGAGAGGGTAGTGACTAGCATTGATAAGCTGGTGTTAGCATCATAGGTTATCAACTAGCATGGATAAGCTGGCGTTAGCATCAGAGGTTATCAACTAGCATGGATAAGCTGGCGTTAGCATTGGAGAGGCTAGTGACTAGCATGAATAAGCTTGAGTTAGCATTAGAAAGGCTAGCAACTAGCATGGATAAGTTGGTGTTAGCATTAGAGAGGGTAGTGACTAGCATGGATAAGCTTGAGTTAGCATTAGAGAGGCTAGTTACTAGCATGGATAAGCTGGTTGTTAGCATTGGAGAGGCTAGTTACTAGCATGGATAAGCTGGTTGTTAGCATTGGAGAGGCTAGCTACTAGCAAGGATAAGCTGGTGTTAGCATTGGAGAGGCTAGGGAGTATCATGTCTAGGCTGCTTACCTACTTTATTAGACTTTTTTTTGAATAAAGTAAGTAAATAAAGTTTTATTTATAAAGCGCCTTTCACAGAAATATATTCACAAGGTGCTGTACAACCATATAAATAAAGAAAACTTGCTCTATAAAGTTTAAAAAAGGCTCCAATTTGATAGTTCTGCCTTTTCTCATAATTCGGCTAAATTTAATAAAAATAACAATTAAAAAAACACTGCCATACCAGTAGACAAGGGCAAATGCAGCTGCTTATTCAGGTGATAACTAAAGCTGTCTGTTTCACAGTAATATGATTTATGTTTAATATTTATGTTGAACAGTAAATTCTGTAAACACCTGTCAGTGCATGGAGCTTATAGGTTTAGTATGTCGACCAGTTTTGTTGAGAAAGTGTTCTGTTGTGTGTTTTTGTTCACATAATTTTGGTACCTGGTAAAGACCAGATTGATTTTTAGCAAGTCATAAATCCTTGATCTTTAAACAAACAAACAAATAAATAAATAAATAAAGAAGGGTCTATATTTTCCCCTTCCCTGCCTGAAAGTGCCCACCCTGCTCACTGTAAAGAAGTCATTTCTGCGGGGGTCAGGCAGCCGGAGAGCCCGTTTCAGGAGGAAGTCCTGATTGTTCCGCTCAGTTTGCAGGAAATATTCTGATGCTTTGAAGACAGCAAGAGGAGCGGAGAGGTTTAAAATTCCCTGCAGGGATTTGGAGATGAGCTGAGGGCAACAGAGTGCAAACGTCTGCACAGGTGTGTGTGTTTGCATGGACGTAAGGCAGCTATAATAACTCTTCATTAGAAGTGGTTAATAAGCAGGAAATGGCCACTTGGTGGAGGAGATAACGCTGAATTATATTGACCTTTTAGGGTGAGACTCTTTAAGGGACGGGGCGTGCAAACAATGCAGATGAAGTTTCACTAAAACATCCCCTTCGGCACCAAATTAAGAATGGATGCAAATAATATATAGAAAAAACATATTGTGCATTTTTTAAACTGCTGAAAGTAACAAAACATTTTGATAAAACAATGATTTTAAAGCATTTGTTCACGAGAAGTAATGCGGTTTTTTAAACAGTGTAAATGTTGTAAACAGGAGAAATATTTCAACAGAAGCCAGAAAAAAAGAAGAAGAGATGTTCTGAGACAGATCCTGGTGTGGATTCTCTACTTACAGGTAATAAGAGTAGGAATAAGCATGTCTTCTGAAGCATGGTGTGGTGAGGCCGATGGTGACAACAGAGCAAAACCCAGAAGAAGGACAAACACACTGGATTAGTTCATGGCTCGCGTGGAGAAAGAAAAAAAAGAAAATACTTTTAATTCGGCACATTTTAAATCATTTTCTGTCCAATATTTCTAATCTTTATCCTCCTGAATGAGCAGTGTGTCCTCGGGGTTTCTAAGACCTGGATTTCCTTTTAACAGATGCTAGGTGTTTTTTTTAAACATACCTCCTGTAGGTCGTTTTATTCTTTAACGATGCTCCCAGAATGATTAGAAAGACAATTTTGAGGCTTATTAAACAAAGTATTAGATCTTCACCATCAAACCTGTGGAAATATTTACCAAGCTTGTGCGCGGAGCGTCAGTCGGTGGGATATAACGACTGAGGGGTAATAAGAAACTTTATGAGTTGTGGAGTGAAACCTGAAGCAAATAATTACACTTTTTTTCCTCTCCTGTTCATTAAGTTGTATTTATCCATCACTGACTCCTCTGCTTCACAGAAATGTTAGATGACTGATGATTAGTTTCATTTGAAGTTAGAATCACTGCAAGAATAATAGAAAATAATAAAAGCTGTAGGGTTTGTTTTGTATTTTCATCCACTGAGCGGTAATAAAGCTAGAAAATGCATTTTTAATAGTTTACTAAGAAAGCGCTTTCAGGGGATTCTGATGTTATCAGTCCATGAAATGGACGTTATTAGGTGTTATCAGTCCCATACAATGGCTTCAGAGGGTCCCTACTGTGCCTTCTAGGCTTCAGACTGTCCCGACAGTGCCCCCTAGTGGGTTAATATATTAATGACAATGAATGTGTAAATAACCAAAATATATTGTAATAAATTCTTTGTGTCTGTGTCAAACTTGAACCCTAGACTCCTGCTCACTGTTCCGAGACTCTACCCATTGCCCTATTGAGAGGCTGCAATATGTGTTCGTCAGAGGTTAGAGCTAACCATGTCATCTGCACTGAGGTTAACCTTGGTGGTTTTAAGCCTCATACTAACCAGCTGACAATCAGAAACCATTCTATGGGACGGGGAACCTGCTAACCGGCACAGGTGGGACATTCTGAAGCCATTCTAGGGGACTGATAACACCTAATAACGTCCATTTCATGGATGATGACATCTGAAGCGGGTGGTGCTTTTGAATTGGAGCTATTTTAAAGTTATTATGATTTCAGATTACCGGTAATTTGACTAAAGCTGAACTTCTTATATCCATAGAACCTGGGTGGTTTTCTACAATACAGGGATGCTTTATTCATGTTTGTAGGCGATGAAGACAAATTAAAATTAGACACAGCTGTTGCCTCCATCAGCAGCAGGCTCAGAGGAGAAATGATGGGATGAGGAGTGAAGAGAAGGAAAAGGAGGGAGATGATGAATGGAGGAATTAGATGAGTTATCAGTTTGTTTCTGGTGATTTAAACCAGGGGCTCTCACACTTTTCAAGTCCTCTTACCCTCATTTTAACCCCTTAAATGTCATGGGGATGTTAATTTTGTTTGCTTACTATGTTTGTTCCCCATGTGCATTTTTAAAAATGAAAACCAAATTAACCACACTGCAAAAACTGTCCATCTTACCAAGTTTTAAAATCTTAAATCAGCCAAAAAGTCTTTTTGATCTTGTTTTGAGACTGATTTACTAAACAAGAACTGATTGTGTAAGAATAATCATCTTGTTTTCAGAATGTGTAAGAT